AAAAGCACTGCCTCATGCTAGTGTCGAGTTAAGAGTGCTACAGCGTTGTGTATAGAGGGACAGCTTTTCAGAGCTCTATCTGAAAAAAATGAATAGGTTTTTTAAAAAAGTAGCTGAAAATAGCTACACTTTGCTGAATGTTTGTTTTATCTCCAAGTCAAGATTATGCCCTCCCCATATAAATAGAAAATGAATGTGAACTATATCATTTGAACCCATATCTTTAAGGAAGGTACAAACACCGTGTTTCTGATGTAATAATATGCTTATAAATTTCTTCCTTTAAGCCTCTTTATTCTACTGTGATGAGCCATATAATATGACAGAGAATGTGTCCAGGAGCTGATACTTCTCATAGATAGGATTGATTCTTTCTGAAGAAGATGGAGAGAGGAGCCTTTATAATAAATCTGATGTATGAAGGATCAATGACTCACTATCACCTTTTTTACTGTTACCAGAGAAAGGACCAAAGCAAGCAAAAAGAAAATAAAGGAAAACAAAAGCACTAGAAAATCAGTGGGGGAAAAAAGTAATAGCAAATAGCAAATATAAGAGAAGTGGGAAAAGAGAAGGGTGGAAAGAGAAAGCACCATTTACAAATAGGTAAAGGAAAAAAGTACCAGGGAAATAACTGACTGTGATGTCATTTATTCACCGCTTCTCCTAACTGCAATACAAAAAGGTACTGGTGTGACGAAACTGCAAAGTGAGAGGAACCTCCCCCTCTACTAGCAGAAGTGAATGTCAGCAGCTTAACAAAATAACCCACGTACTGATAAATGCTTTCCTCAGTTTTGGCCATTAGTATATGAAGGTTCTAGGATTGTCTCAATCCAAAACAAATAGATAGGATTTGCCCCCAGTTGTATTTAGCTGTAGATTCGTTCAAGTAAACTGCCTTGGGGGGGATGAAGTAGTGGCTTCATTGAAATCCACAGCAAAACCATTGACTTCAACTCTGAGGATCGCACCTGCATGTTCTTTGCTTACCTTCAACTTGGACCAATTCCTCTGTGAAAGCATAATTGCTGAACCTATCCTTAGGATGCCATTTAATTTTAGATTTAAATTTAATAATGGGAAATTCGATGGAACTCATAGTTGACACTGCTTTGAGCAGGAGGTTGGACTAGATGATCTCTTAATGTCCCTCCCGATGCGAATTATGGCATGATCCTATGACTCAAGACGAGCGATAAGGTTTTGACTGTTAAAGGTACAGAAAGCGACCTTTCTAAAAGGAAGGTATCTTTTAGCATTGTTGCACTTCAAGCAGAAACAAAGTTTTCACTGTAAGTCTCAAGCAGAGATTCCAGACATCAGAAATTAAGCCACCAAATAAAGCCCTGAATATACTGTTTTTAACATTGTCTGTAACATTATTTTCCCTTAATTAAGAACAATCAACACTTTTGTGGAAAATGACAAGATGCTGGACTGAAACTTACCCAGCCACCGTTTGCATCTATCCATTCAGCTTTGTTGTTTATGATGTACTCTGTGATGAAATAAGAAATCCGCTCCTTCTCCTCTCCTGTGAGCTGAACTCCATGCTCTTGAAGCTTCTTAGTGAGAAGTCCTCCAAATGTAAATATGGTCATGATTCGTCCCCAGTTAGTATTTCCATCAGCAAATTTTTCTTCCATGACTCCATTGAAAATTCTCTTGGCAACATCTACAGAGGTAATATCAATCCTATCCAAGAACGGTCGGAGAGCCTCCTCTGTTTGATCTTGCAGCGAAGATGCGATGTTTCGCAGGACGTGAGCAACTCTGGTTTGGGCTGGTCCAAGATGTGATTCTTGAAGAACATACTGCAGATAATCATGAGCTAAATAATAAACGTAATAAAACTCAGCGGTTTCCATTTAGAATCAAACTTGGAGAGCAGTGTACAGCTCTTAATCTGGGCAATAATAAACAGCCGCAGAGCATGCATGCAGCTTTTTATCTTTGGGGTTTGATGGAATTTTTTTTTGCTTTACCACACAAGTTCCTGTAAAAAGCTAGGGGCTTAATGATTGTGTGGGTTGTGGAATATGTGACAGCGGAAATGAAAGAAAAAGCGTCAGCTCAAAGGGAGAAAACATGTCTTCTTGAATGATTTATTATTTCTGTAAATAGTAAGATTCCACAACTGAAATCACCAGCTTTTACCACATTCTTTAGCAATATAAATTGTCATTTTCTAGGGGCTTCTGCTATGTAATGCCAGCAAAGATTAGGCATTTGGCTTTTAAAAAAATGCTGTAGGAGCATGCAGATGCCCCCCCCCCCCCCACTCTCATCATTGCCGGTGGCTAAGGCTCCAGTCTGTACTGTAGGTATATGGATTATTTCTAATTCACAGCTATTGCAAGAAACTGGTAGAAGTTTCTAACAGGATGGAGAAATAGATAGACTGTCTTCATCATTCAGGGGGCTTTATATAACTGCTTGAAGAGGGAACACAAAGGTGGTACATCTTTCCCAGCAAGTATGGAAAAGTGAGAAAGCCAGTGTTATTCCCCTGTTCCAAACTCTCCGGCACCATCTCTCTGAGTGCTCTTCAAGGTGCTTTGAAGATTTGAATGTAGCTTCAAAGACCTCCTTCCTCCTCAGGGAGTTCTAGTATAAAAGACAATATTAGTATAAAAGACAATACTAATGCAGTTGGCACGTCATAAATGAGTAAATGAGGTGGAAAATATGGGGCGAAGCTGGGGATACGTGATATCATCTGAATCTCTCATGACAACAGAAGCTACCATGATACCTCCAACTATTGCTCTTCAATTCAAATTTTTGGTCAAGCAGTTGTTTTGGGGGAGAAAAGCTGAGGTGTTTGGAAGGGTGTAGCGCTCTCTCTCCTGATAAACTCTCTTTGCCTGAGGCAATCTAACTCTGCTAGAGGGTCAGGATGTGTCTCTAAAGAACTTCACTCCGTTGCAAAGGCTTCAGGGCAGCAAGCAGTTGGATGCTTGAAGACCCCTCTCTTCCTCCATCCTTTCTCCTCCGTCCCCTTCTTCATCCCTCTACTCCTGAGCCACCTCTCACTCACCCCTTTTCCTTCCCTGGGAACAAAAAGCTTTCCCAATACCACACTCCAAGAGGTCTTCTCCTCTGCGGGGATGGAAGTAAGCCCGCAGCCTGTCTCCAGTCCCGGGCACTGCTGACACAGGGCTTGAATCTCAGATGTTAGGACAGCACTGGTACCTAATCTTATTGAAGCGAAGCATATCTAAACTGTGACATGACTGTGGTGTCCGTATTTTGCCTGACACTAGCCTGGTCAGCCATTTAGCTCCCCCCCTTTCCCCCGCCCCCGCCCCCGCCCAATATGTAGTCTGCTGCTCTGACATCACAGTTTTGCAGAAACCCCTTTGAGTAGAGCAATGTAGTTTCCAGTTCCTTCTCAGGGTTTTTCTTCTGTATATGGCAAGTATCTCAGAATGACAACAGTAATCTTCCATCCTCAGCAGGGTTTGAAACCTCAGGCTAACACCAGTGTAGCACAGACATCCATCACTTCAGTTACCAGGCTAGGGAAAGTCTTTGCCTCACTTTCTTTTGGAGGCAGAAGGTGATCAGAGCCACGTTCACCTTTGGGAGAGAATGGGTTTAGGGGGGCAATATGAGCTGGAAGAGTTCCTGTGTTAAGTGCTACTCTCAGGAAAGGATGAGATGCTAGGACTGGAAATGGGCTTGGGGTGGGAAGCTAGCTCTCCCTACCTCCATACACACACGTTCTTACCAAAGCTAATTTTGAATGGTTAAATAGGTCCTCTATCCAGTACCTGCAGCCGCTGCTTTGGCAGAGCTATTAAGCTGGCTTTGGCTTTTCTATGTTCAATGTTTTCAGAAAATTGCAAACATTTTTATGAAGAATGCAAATGAAAAAAAGAAAGGGGGGGGAGGTATGTGACAGTTCTTAACTCTTTGCAACTCAGATAAATCTGGGCAGAAATTTCTGGGACAGAGGAAAGGCTTTGCTCTACCCAGACAGCTTCTCTCCTGTCAACAGCTTGCTGCAAACAGGGCTAAGAGAGCTATGTGAGGAAAAGTCAAAAGAACCCTTCTTTTATATAATAGTCTGTGAAGTTGTAGTACACTCCTGACTGTGTTAATAATTGATTGATGAAAAGCTCATTGCAAACACTCTGAAGGAAAGAAAGAGTTAAGCATGAGAACAGTGACCGATACCCAAGGAGGCAAGTTTGCTTTCCTCGCCGTCTATGGGAACAGAGCACTGCCAGAAGCAGGTATTTCTTTGTAAGTGGAAGCCTTTAGGATTCTGAGGAGGGTGATGAAATAAGGCTACCAGCACGGCACGTCACCATTGTTGAAAGAAATCAGTGCTAATGACTTAGCCATTCTGGTGCAAATGCTGCCACTCACAGTGTCTTGATCTCATAAAGGCGGTATGGTGAAGCTCAGATCTCAGCTGGCAGAAAGGGAGCTGGCAGCTCTGAGCAGGTATTTTCTCGAAGGACGAGGTGTGACTCGGGAGACCAGAACTCAAGATGTAGCTGTTGCAAACTGCCCCAGGTCTCTTCAGTTCAGCGTTAGGCACATTTGCTTTTCAGTGGAACATAGTGGAAGGTGTAATTCCAAGTGCTGGACGTTTAGCAGCAATGACAGTTTAAACTGGTTTCTGGGACAAAAACATTCTTCAGGAATACTCTTGCATGAAAAGCCTTAATCCCTTATTTAAAATGAGGTCAAATGAGCACACTAGCCCACTCTTCCTGAGCTCCAATGGTCGATTCTGGACACTGTAAGAAATCAGATTTGGGATCTCATCCTTATATCACGCCACTCTGAGGCTCTGATTCTTACTTGCTACACTAAGCAGTGCCTTCCTTTCTCCTAGCAGATTTCATTAACTTTTTTTTAGCTCTAAGTGAATACCTTTAACTTAACGCATCCCTGCTCTTTCTTCTACCTGCTCTGTCTCCTCAGTGCTGCATCTACCTCACTGCTTCTTTCATCTTTTCTTCTTAGCTGTGAATACTTTGTCCTTTATAAATAATAACTGTTAATAATAGATTTGAAATATAAACTAGCTTGACATGGAAACTCAAATGCAAACTCTCCTCTTGATATCTGGCATAGCAAGGGGCTTCAAATACTTGAATTTCAGTCTGTGCTCTGTGGATTTGACTCTGTGTTTTACCCTAACCTGAAAGGCTTTTTTTTCTAGAACAGATGGGGACCGAGTTTACAGATCTTCATAAAACTGACTTGTAAGAGACGATATCTCCTCTTGTTTGAGACAAAAACTAAGCCAAAATAGCTAAAGCTTTGTTGAGCTATTTGTACTACATCTGCTTTGGCAGAGACTTGCTCCAGTTCCTGGTCAATGTGGGAACCGTGAGCTCTTCTAAGGCAGCTGAGCTTTATCTGGAGGAAGGGTTTGAGGCCTTGAGAAAATTCTTACAGAATTTTCCTAGTTTTCTTCCCGTTTTCAAGACCAGACCAGTGCAATTTTTCTGTAGTGTTGGATTTCACTGCAAAAGAACTGCTCAGATAAGTTTTAACTTTCCAGTTGCTCTGCACAGCCGTGATATAAGACTTCAGGAGGCTTTGGTGACTTTTATTTACCCTCTGTTTTCCTATAAATTAGAATATGGCTTTTCTGTGAGCAGAAATGGTTAGTTCCTATTAAAGACAGAGGTTGGATTTGCTCAGTGGAGTGCTGCCACCTAGTCGCAGACGGTTTGGCTGCATGCACAGAAATGTGCCAGGCACAGATTAAATCGTTGTTACCTGAGTGTGTCTTGAATACACATCCAAATCTTCTGTACTTTGTGATTCTGTATGCAGCAAATAACTAAAATACAATAGCATTAGGACTCATCCCCTGGCAATGGTCTAAATTTATAAATGATATAGTGTCTCCTGAAGAATTCTGTCACGAAAATGTCCTGTCAAAAGCTTGGAAAGCTCCTCACCATAAGAAGTTTTGGGCCCAGTTCATCCTAAAAAGCTTCTCCCCATCCTAAAGTTTCTAAGATAGAGAGAGAGGAAATATCCGTAGCAGGATCCTGGATCTCAAATCCTATGGCAATTGAACCAGAGACCTCAAGCCAGTTTACATTCTGTGTATCTCAAGAGATAGAGATGTAGCACAGAAGGCAAGTTCCAGGGAGAACGTAGCCATTTTTGCATATTCTGGGCCACCTGAGAGATTCTGGGCCGACTGGAGGGCTAGAGTGGTCCCCAGCATAAACTAAAGCAATTAAGGGGCTTCTCCAGTTTACTGTTGAGCTGTGGTGCAGCCCGGAATGACTGAGGGCTGAGCAATATGGCACGAGCTCTCTCCTGCTCCTGAAATACCATACTGCAAAGGCTGGGAGGGTAGGTCACATGAAGATGCACACTGCAGTTCCACGTGGCTCAAGCATGAGAAGAATCCTCCAAAAGGCCATCCTGCTGCCTTTATGACTCCTCTATACCACTCCAGTGATGGAAAGGGACTATAGCAAGGGCCCTTGGTTGTGTTACTCAGGGCTCAACCACTGCCTCATCACTTCCTCTGGTAACTCAGCTCAGCTCAAAACTTCGCTTTTTCTGGATCCTAGCCTCTCCCCATCATGAGTTAAGGGCGTAGGCAAAGCACACTGCTCCACAGGATGCTACACATGCCGTGTGTCATCACATGCATGCGTGTGGACACACGTTTTCTTCTAAGTTCTCATAAGCCTTTCTAAATATTTATCTAGTATTGGGAAAATTTGAGCAAATAGTCATAGCTTGTCAGCAGTGAACCAAGGAAAAGTGAAGCTTTGTAAGCCTCTCAGACAGTGGAGCAGGAACAAATAAAGTCTTGGTAGAAGCCTAGAAAGATCTTGCAGATCCAAGATGGAGCAGTGTAGACTCAAGCCAACTTCATTGCTGAAAATACTTGCTCCCAGAGGGAAAAGAAAAGGTATATGCTTGTGAGTATTTATGAAACAGGAAGTCAAGGGCTCATGCCTCACCATGATAACCTAAACTTGGTGTGTCCCCCACCCCCAAAAGTTAGGCCTTTGGTTCATTGCAGGTGCAGCGTGAACATGTGCAAGGTCCATATTAATCTGCAGCTTTGGTTCAGATCTGTGTCCATGTTTAACCATAGTGCCATCAGAAGAAATAGGCATTCAGCAGCAGCTGCATTAATGCTTTAAAGCTACTTTACTTGGTGGCTTTTCAGTGGTGACACAGCATTTC